ACCCACCTAGACCATGGGAGAGCCCTCAATGCCACCTATCGTGATGGTGACTGTAACTACCTGGGATTTCATTGACAGAGATCGGCCTAGTGCTTAGATATTAGACCTGGCTTCAAGTATGACATATTATTACGGGCAGGTTGTTATTACTACTAGATATGACATTCTTCAGATACATCAAAGTGTGGTCTGGAAGACGATTCCATTTCCCGTTCCCATGTAGGGAGTAGAGAGAGTTCCATGGGATGCTCCTATGGGCCCTCATCCTGGTACACATATGAGTTTTGTGGGAGAGACTATACCATTTGGTGGTTTGGGAGCCACTACTCATGGAGGTTTCGAGGTGGGTGGACCTTCAGTACCTATGGAGACGCGAGACGAGGCAATGCTTAGAGCAGCAACTGCTACAGGACTAGGATCTTTAGAGGGCCCAGAGGTACCTCACTTGGTATATCCTCCTGGAGTTTCTTTAGGGGAGATAGTTGTTATGAGATCCCAACTCCCTCAGTCACCCCAACTATGTGGGTTGATTTTGTCACCGGGGAGTCAAGAGATGATTATAGTACTGAGGTGTATGAGGCGACGTCTCGAGCCCCCTCTGAGAGTTCTTGCCTAGTTTGTGGCGAGCACCCATGTGTTTGTCCTCTCTAGCTCGTCTATCTTGATCGTATAGTCCTAGTCTAACATGACTGTGCTGACTTAGATGAAGACTAGTAGTAGTTTATTTTTTTGTATCTTTTTGGGATGATTGTACTTGATAGTATTACACTCGTAGTGAGCAACTTTTATTATGTTTTGACTACAATATGCCCTAAGTTCATGACACACTTATGTTTAAATGTCATGAATTATGAGCTTTATTTTGGAAGTTGTAATATTCAGGTACATACACTTTGCTTCCTCGAAAAGCACTACTGATGCATATAGTATTATTCAGCTTTAAAAACGGTTGTCCTACTTTTAATATTATATGTTGTAGTTCCTTCGGATATGTTAGAGCCGACTTCCCATTTAATTTAGCGTACTCTGTTATTTTAATATATATATATATATATATATATATATATATATATATATATATATATATATATATATATATATATATATATATATATATATATATATATATATATATATATATATATATATATATATATATATATATATATATATATATATATATATATATATATATATATATATATATATATATATATATATATATATATATATATATATATATATATATATATATATATATATATATATATATATATATATATATATATATATATATATATATATATATATATAATTGCATATATATATATATATATATATATATATATATATGCAATTATATATATATATATATATATATATATATATATATATATAATTGCATATATATATATATATATATATATATATATATATATATATATATATATATATATATATATATATATATATATATATATATATATATATATATATATATATATATATATATATATATATATATATATATGCAATTATATATATATATATATATATATATATATATATATATATATATATATATATATATATATATATGCAATTGATTTTGTTTAAAAAACAAGGTGTTACATTTAACGCTGCCTGACACTTCAATAGCTCGGCTGTCTACCAGCCCATTCCAGTGCCACCCGGCGTAGACCCCGCCATGGTGGCTCTGTTTGTGGCGGTCAACCAGGCCAATCTCATGATCTTCCAACAGAACGGGCGAATTGGGATGCTCGAGAAGGAGTGGCCATCATGCTCTCCCCCGCGGAGACATCGTCGCCCGGTTTCCAACATTCCCTCTCCTCCCTCGTGGAGGACGCAACATGACGACTCTCAGAGCCCTTCTCACCGGCTGTCTGGGTGGTTCCCTCACTTGGAGCTACCGCAACCAATGGCCTCCCAGAAGCACGACTGGTCACCTCCCCAGAAGGAGCGATGCTCCCCCGCTCAAAAGAAGTACAAAGCTGAAGGAGGTGTCGGCAAGCTAGGAGCCCGGCTGAGGACTCCTCCTCGACGGAACAGACACCATCGGGGATTAGTTTGCCCCTCACGGTCACCTGTCAGAAGCAACGAGGACGACTAGCGCTCATCTCTATGTAGGACCATCAGGGAGACCCCACTGTCCATCAGGATGGAAAAACCCCCGCCCTTGGCAACATATGATGGCACGATCAACCCGTACGACCACATAGAAAGCATTAACGCGATGCTCAACTATTGGAACGTACGGGGAGCCATCAAGTGCAGGCTTTTCCCTACTACCATGAGAAAGGGAACTATGATGTGGTACAAGCACTTCACACTAGAGTTCATCACCTCTTAAGGCAAAGTGAAGAGGCAGTTCTCCAAGCACTTCACGACTTCCCAGCACCATCCAAAGACAGAGGCAGTTCGGGAAGCCATCATCCAGGGAAAGTACAAACCTCTTCGAGATTACATAGGGAGGTTCAACCGAGAAGTTGTCCAAGTGTCCACCATGGACGACATAAAGAAATTCCTAATCGAGAGAGGAATACGACCTCGTTTCGACTTCGCCAAAGTCGTCGGGATCGAACGCCCCCGTACCTTGAATGCTCTCCTCCTCAAGGCCCAATCATATATCTGGTATGAGGAAATAGAGGCCACCTATGCAGCTCGCGACACGCGTAATCAGGAAGGCATCAGGGGTGCCAGGCATCAGGGTGTCACGCCTTCTCGAAGAGGCGGGGAAAGGAGAAGAGAGGACTGACCCCACGAACAGAGGGGGTCAGTAGGTAGGTTCACTGAGTACACGCTACTCACAGCTCCCCGCGAGTGTATTCTGTCCGAATGTATCTATTTGGAGTTTCAAAGAGGTGGTGTCTGTTTCCCAAAACCGACACCCCCGAAGCCCAACATCGAAAAATCCAAATACCGCTAGTTCCATCGGAGCCATGGACACGTCACGAAAGATTTCATCCACCTCAAGGATGCAATCAAGATTCTAATAAAGGAAGGGCACCTGAAATAGTACACCAGGAGTAACGAGGCTCCTCAACAGGAGACCTGCGAAGCCAAGCGGGTCGAGGAAGTGTCACCACCCTCTGAAGAAGCTGGACTGCAGGTCGCCCTGTGTGTCTCCTGGCCGGAGGATTTTCTCCTTCTCAATGAGCCCGCCAGACTGTTATCCATCCATACTCCATGAAAGGATTTCCCTTCCACCTTGGTCATATTCGGTGGAGGCCCCAACAAGCTCTCAGTTGGGTCGGTCAAGAGGAAGTTTGAGGAGATGATCGACAAGACCTCGAAGACAAACGCTACCCTCGACAACGGTTTAATCTGGAAGCTTGTAGGAAGGCTATTGCTCTCTTTATGATTCTAGATGAACGTGCTTTTAAGGTAGTTGAAGGGTAAGGCTTTAAGTTTATATGTATAAAATTACAACCTTAATTAACTATTCCATCAAGGAGGACCATGGCGAGGGTTTGTTTTCAACTTTTTGTTGATGAAAAAGTAAGATTGAAAGGTTATTTTAAATCTGATTGTAATAGGGTAGCCTTGACAACTGATTGTTGGACATCCATTCAGAATCTTAGCTACATGATCCTCACTGCACACTTCATTAACAATGAATGGAAGTATGAAAATAGAATTCTAAGTTTTTGTTTAGTTCCTAATTATAAGGGTGAGACAATTGCTAGGAAAGTTGAAGAGATTTTTAGGGAGTGAGGAATAAGGAATGTATCCAAAATCAATGTGGACAATACAACATCTAATGATATAGTTGTTGCTTATTTGAAGAAGATGATTGATAATGTGGATGGTTTAATGAGTGATGGATCTTTCTTTCATCTTCGTTGTTGTGTACACATTCTAAACTTGGTGGTTCGTGATGGTTTAAAACATAATGATTTATCTATTTCTCCCATTAGAAATGATGTTAGGTTTATGAGGTCATCACCCCAAAGATCAGCAAAGTTCAAATAATGTATTGAGTTTGCTAGAATTAATTGTAAGAAGCTTCTTTGTCTTGATGTTCCAACAAGGTGGAACTCGTGTTATCTGATGCTAAATGTTGCTAAAAAGTATCAAGCAGCATTTGAGAAAATAGAAGGTGGAGATTTTAGTTATTTGGATTTTTTGGGGTTAGTTGGCCCTCCTACTCTTAATGATTGGGAGAATGTTACGTGTCTTGTAAGTTTTTTCAAAATTTTCTATGAAGCTACTGTGGAATTTTCTTCGTCAAAACAAGTATCCCTTCATAAGACATTCCACCAACTAGCTTCTGTACATTGTGAGTTGAAAAGATCATCCATGAACTTGAACACAATTTTAGTCTCAATGAGATATGAAATGAAGCAAAAGTGTTCTGGACTAGGCCGAAACCTGCCCCTCAGTCAGGTAGGCCCAACCTAATACTATGTTTGGGAGGCCTAACAAGGCCCAATCCTCACATGTCGGGCACGTCTCTCAGCAAGACCCCTCAGTCGGGCAGACCACTACTTGGCGCGAGGAGAGGCCATGCGCTTTCCCCACATTCTCTACGTGTCCCCCACACGGAGACACATCATCAAACAACTACCCACTTCCAAAAGAGTTGGTCAGCCCACCTTTCAAAGATCACGAGGCAATTTATCCAGGGCGAATACCACGTGCTGGTCTTCCCTACGCCATGTAAGCCCTGGCAGTTACTTGTGTTGGGCTTGGAGATCTGGCCTAATGCAATGTAATCGTTGGCCCTGTGTTGGGGGCACATTATAAATACCCTCTTTCACTTGAGGGTCATGTATTCTATTCCCTACACCTATTTCTCTATGTACTTTCACTTTCTGACTCTGTTACTCACTTAAGCATTGAAGTACCTTACAGATACACCCCCTCCTCCTCTATAACACCGTTGAACACAGAAACTCACGACGCGTGGCAGACTGCTGATTCCTTTTTGATCAAGTGAGATCAAAAAGTATGACAAATATTAGGGGGAAATTGAATGTATGAACAGGTTTATTTACTTTGGTGTGATTCTTGACCCTCGATACAAGCTTGGATATGTAGACGGGTGTTTTAATGATATGTATAGTGATGAGTCAGTACCTTTTACTGACCTGATTGGTATGATAAAAAGGGAGTTGTTTGAACTACTCAATTGGTACAAGGGTATATATGACCAGCAATATGGTTTTGGATCATCTACTAGTCCTATTGAGGGTAGTTCACTTGGTGATAGTGTTGTTCCTGATGCTGAAGTAGCATCTCATTTTGCAAGGATTGAAGCTTTTAAAGAGCACCTTAAACAAAAGGATTCAATAGATAAAAAAAATGATCTTGAGAGATACCTAGATGATAAGTATGTTGATGACTCCAACTCTGACATCCTTATGTGGTGGAAACAAAATTCTTGTAGATACCCTATTTTAGCAAAAATGGTTAAGGATGTTTTAGCTAGTCACATGTCCACTGTTGCTTCTGAAAGCACGTTTAGTACTGGGGGCAGAGTTCTAGACACATATAGAAGTTCATTAAGCCCTAAAATGGCAGAGGCTTCGATTTATGCACAGAACTGGTTGAAACCTACACTTAGTCAATTCAAGGACCGAAATATAAATGAAGATTTTGAAGTGTTTGTCACTACTATATCAAGTATATAAAAATGTGTATTTATTCTATTAGTATGTTGGCTTTGATTTTGATTTAATTTGGTTATTGTTTAATGTTATGCAGAATTTAATGGTCCCTCTGCTAGAGGATCAACATCTGGTGGTGATTCTGATGCTGTTGGAAAAGGAAAAGAATCAGTTGCTGGTTTATCTCAATCACCATCATGATTGAGAAAACTAGGGTTAGTGTATTATTACTTTAATATATTAATCATTATTGAAAATTTTCTGCTAGTGGATCAATGTCAGTTTCTGGTTCTAATGTATTAATATTTTTTTTTTCATTTCAGTTTGTTTTTTGGAGTCATTTGTGAAAATGACCTTATTTTGGGCTAATGAATATTATCGACGATCCATTATATTTTGGAATGAAGTGTGTTATCTATCCAGTAATATCCATAACAATTCTGATTTTGGATTTAAATAAGATTTTTTTTGGAATGAAATGTAGAGAAAATGCAGTTTGCAGACTTTAATGGTAAATATTTAATTGTTTCAGATTTTATTTTAGATTTGTGAATGTTGCATTTTAATAACTTTAATGGTAAATATTTAGTTGTTTTAAATTTAATTTCATATTTGTGAATGTTGCTTTAGCTTTGTAGGTTTATGAATGATGCAGTTGATGTCAAGTTGGAGAATGTTGCAGAGTTATTTATGTTTTTACTCTGTAAGTATTTCTTTGTTTAATAACTGCTGCAAATTTATGTTCATTTAATCAGTTCTGTAGAGATTTAATTTTATATCTATGAATGTTGCTTTAAATGCTACGGAATTGTGAATGCTGCCATAGATGCGAATTTATAGATTGCTGCGGAATTGTGAATACTGCCATAGATACAAAGTTGTAGATTGTTGCAGAATTGTGAATGTTGCCATAGATGTGAAGTTGGAGATTGTTGCTATAGATGTGAAGTTGGAGATTGCTATAAATGTTGTAAGGATTTTCTCTGTTAAAGAATTTATGCAGATTTATGTTGTGTAGGGATTTGATTTCAGATTTATTAGTGGTGCATCAGATGTGAAGTTGGTGATGAAATCATGATGGTGTTACAATAAAAGGAAATGTTGTAGTTTGATATATGCTGTTTAAGGGGAATATCAATCTGTTGTGGATATTGTTGGAAATGATAATGAACATTGAACATGTAATATGTTGATATTAGTTTATTAGTTAAATGATGTGAAATTGTAATATATTTGTGAGATATTGGATCGAACTCTAGTATGGTCAAAGGATAGCCTCTGGTTCGACATGTATTAAGCATGAGGTCGAAGTTTGTTCGCATGTTGCTGTCGGAGTAATGCATGTTGTAGTCGAAGTTTATTCTAATATGCATTAGTCAATATTGCTAGGTTAGTTAGCATATTGAATTGGGCCTTACTTGTAAGGCCAATTGTTTAAGTTAGCTTGTACCTTAAGTTAACTTGTAATGGATAATTGTTAAAAAGCCTATTAGGTTAGGGTGTTAATTTTCTTATAAATAACATGCTAGTATCTCATCTTGTTATAAGGAAAAATAGGAAGATAAAATCCTAATTTCAAGAGAGAGAGAGAGAGAGAGAGAGAGAGAGAGAGAGAGAGAGAGAGAGAGAGAGAGAGGTTATTTTTCTATTCTTGTTGTCGCTACTGCGAAAATCGGCGCCGGCTGAACAGAAGAGTCGCCACCGTGCGTTATTTATCCCACGGGAGGGAAAGGAAACGCTCAGAGTAAACCTCGCACAATACGGGAAAGGTATGGTCATCGCAACCAAAACCTGGATTCGGGAGTCGGTTACGCAAGGGGAAGGTATTAGCACCCCTCACGTCCATCGTACTCGATGGGATCCACGCTTGTTTTCGGGTATGGATTGTTATTCTATCTAAACTATAGGTCAAGGGTTAAAAAGAAAATAAAATGAAAATAAAAATGACTCGGCAAAGTATCGCACTTTATGCCTACGTATTCCCGTCTGGAACGAGAAATCAGAGTCAACGTAGTTCGCCTACCTACGGGAAAGGAGGGGAAGGTTGCTCGCTAGGATATCGCATCCTATGCCTACGTACTTCCACACGGCATGGAAGATCAGAGCAAACGTAGTTCGGGCCACATACGACACAAGCTTGTCTTTGATTGATTTTATTCCTTCTGAAAAAGGTTTTCTGATCAACAGTCCCAGAGGACAAAAATGACGTTTTGATGAGTTCACATTCTTTTACGGAAGAAGTGTCTTTTATTGTGTTTGAAATCTTTATGTGTTTTTCTGTTTGTTTTGAGAAAGAAAGAGACAGAACTCTAACCTATGGTTGCGAAGGGAAACAAACTATCCTAATGTTATCATGCATGGGTTAAGACCTAGTGTCTATCATGCTCCTCTCTTGCACAGAGAGAAACAGAGATCCTACGGGATAGGCAGAAACAGAAACAATATCAGATATATACAGTAAAACAGAAAAATGCATGAATGCAGCAATACAAGCGAGGCAAGGGAGTCCCACTCAACCTCGAACCTAGAAAACAATAGGCGAAAGTGAACAGACTTCACTTTCAACCCAACAGGGTAAACAGCAAACAATACAGTTCAGAAAGCCAATCAATACATCAGCAAATGAAATACAGCAATAAAACAACAGCATCAGCAGCTCTGAGTCAGCAACTGGCTTCAAACAATCTCCAATCAGCTACAAGCTTCAACAAGCATAAATCTCCATCTTCATGGCCTTCAGGCAAGGGCTTTGGTCCTCAGTCTTCCCTCTGCAATGGCTTTTCTTCAAGCTCAAACCTCCAGGATGAGGGATCAGTCACAAGAGTGAATTGAGTGTTAAGCAATCAGCTGACTACCAAAGGTGGTGAACAAACTGCTTCTGACACAAGAGACATTTTCTCTCAAGAGTTCTATCTCATAGACACCATCACCAAGCCTTCCAAAGGAAGGGGGTGAGTGTCTTAGAGAGACTCTGAATCACAGAGAAGAATGGATGCAGACAAGGCAATCCATGTTTGAGAAACAATCATTCTAATCTAGAGCTCTGCCTAGCTCCTAAACCCTAGTCTCCTCAGCATCTGCTAGCAAGAGACTCCTCCTCAACTCTGACAGTTGATCTTCAATCTTTTGACTCTTCAATGGCTTCATCTCCACAAATCTTCAGCTTCCCCAGGGCCCCAGACAAACCCAATACCCAATCAAACAATCAACAATTCCCAGAGGGCACACCACACCAGACAGCAGATATACAGACAGTAATAATATCAGTAGGGGAATCCTAACTTTCTCTAAGGGATCTAATAGCTACCCATAGCCCCTATAGTCCCATAACTAATCTATTCAAAACCCTAAGTCCTAAGGGAGAAAATTGAACTTCCTAAGTTGTCACCTAAACCCTAGTTTTGTTCATGATATTCAAGCATCTATTAATCACCTAAAATTAACTCCTAAAAATGGGAACTAAAATATTTCTACAAGATTAACATCTCATCTGAACAATATGAAAAGAATGATCAAAAAATATCAAAGCATGTGAGAGAACAAAAATCATAAAAATAATGCATGAAATGAATCTATTTAATATGACATTTATTTAGAAAATATGTAAAAAATATGAAATAAAACTAAAAATGAAATTTTATTTTCCTATAATGTTCTAGACATGTTAATGAGAATATGGTAAAAAGAATGGATTAAAAAGCATTTTTTATGAATTATTTATGAATTAATGAAATTGGTAAAATATTAAAATGAAATAAGAAAATTAAAATTGAATTAAATGAATGAGGGGGGGGTTGAAATAGAACTCTCGCCCAGTTCAATTCAGGATGGGCCCTCAGACTGGGGGGTGTTGGTAGCGTTTTGGACAAGGCCCAATAACAATCAGAATTGAAGAAATAACCAAAGAGCGCTGGGGGGTGAAACTAGTAGCGAAAACACGTTCAAATTCATATTGGGCTTAGAATAGGGGGTGGAAATATCAACATAGCGCTCAGGCCCGCCCGTTTCAATTAATGAAACGGTGCGTTTTGGCACCAAACTAGCTTCCCTCCAAAATCAGATCAAACGCTGGCCATTGGATCACTCTCACAGTCAACAGTCTAACTCCAAACGAAGGGCTATGATTATCTCTTCCTCCTTGGTTCTGCAAGTTAGGGTTTTAATCACCATGAACATCCATGCACGACTAAACTTCACCTCCTCTATTCTCCTTCCACACGCAATGAAATGCCACGCCATAAACATGAAACCTGCTCCAAATCTCTCCCTCTACAAGCTTAGGGCATTAGATTAACTTGAAACTCACCATAACAACAAACACGATTGGATCAACATCCGGCCTCCATTGAAATGCACTGATACGAACCTTCACCATTCTTCCTCAGACTTAACCTAAACTAAACTACACCTAATGGAGATTAACATATGCTATCAAGCCACAATTATAATGCACTAATCTAAGAGATATGAACACTAACAGTTTGCTATACCTGTCACTAACCATCACCAAATCGTTCCAAATTCATCTAACTTAATCTCCTAACCACCTAGATCAATTCTACACTAACAAAATCATGCCTAACTAACTGGATCAAGCAGTTTGAATGAAAACTTACCTTGTACGAAATCTTGCAAACAGCTATGGAGATTGATGATTTGTGGCTTTTGAGACTTGGATCTTGATCAATCCTTGATGAACTTGATTCTGTATGCAAGCTTTGGATGAGATTTGGCCAGAATTATGCTATCCACTTGAGATTGTGATTTTGATGTTCTTGCAAAAGGCACTTGAAAATGGATGATAATCACCAAAACCTTGCTTCAATTCTGATCTATGGTGATAATGGAGCACAATTGAATCAATATGGATGATGATTTTGTGAAGATTTTGAGAGAATTACAATGAAACTTCAATGAAAGGAATGAGGGAATTTGTGAAACTCTTGGTGCAAATGGAGCCAACCCTTGATCAATGCACATTTCATGAATATATAGACCCCAAATGAACATTCTAGATCCATCTTGCACATTCCCTTGTTTTCAAATTTTGATCCATTTTGATTATGTTTCTTAAATGATAAGCAACCATGGATAACTTCATTTTTTCCTTCTAAACTCAAAAAAGTGTGTGAACCATTGTTCTTAGAATTGTTTTTCCATTCAAAATCATATATTGGAAGTCTCCATTTGGACTTGTAAAT